GTCATAAATATACTCTGACTTATCTCCAAAATGATGCTAATGTTAGTGCCAATTGAGCATCCAAGGGGCATGGAGTCCACAGCTGGTTGCTATAGCAGAGACAGCCCTTCACCCTGTCTCTACATAATGAACTCTTCTCAGTGGTAGAGGAAGGTTTCTCCAGCAGATCTTAGTGTTTTGGCAGATTTATACATGACTTCTATTCAGAACCCACCATTTTTCACACATGCAGTTTTCAGTGTCCCACAGGGATGCTCAGGACCTCACAGGAATGCACATTTGTTCGGTCCTTGGAGTATTTCACCATGTTGCTGAACTGCAAGTACACCCCTAGTTCAGATGTGTCTTTATAGCTATGACATCAGCAGGGTGCATGTGAAAAACCTCAGAGGCAATAAATGCATCTGGACCATCCCTTTCTAGCCAGTGAAAACACTGCGGTTTTTATTTCTTAAATATGTGTCAGACCAACAGAACCACAAGCAATACCTCCTTACCACATACAGATAACAAAAAAAAAAAAAGCTTCAGTAGAAACTTCTCATTAATGCCTTAGCAGATTTATTTGATTTTAATGTTTGGGGACTTTGGTTAAAAATAATAACAATGCATAAGCACTGCAGAAGGTATCAAGCCTGTCTGTGCACAGAATAGACCCCATGTGGGTACAAGATGTACAAGTGTGCATATGCAGCACATTCGTTTGGTGCTTTTACACTTCATTTTGGATATCAAACTGAATTATCCAGTGATTCCAGTCTCTGGTAAAATCAGAGCAACCTGACATGGCCTCCCTACTATGAACGGAGTCCTTTTAAACACTCTTCCTCCACCACAACATGATAATGCTTGGGTCAAGAACCAACTGACTTCAGCAGAAGGAAGGAATGGAATACTAACCTAATTTCACAGGTAAGGTGGCATAAACCACTCTGTGCAAGAAAGAAATGGCTCTTTTGGGAAACTAAGGAAGATAATGTGTCATACACAGCTGTGCCATCCAACAGAAGGAAAACAGACAGGAGACTAGTACTGACGCATCTCAGCTCTGATGACCAAACTGTACAGGATCCCACTTTTGGCATTAAAAAGTATTAAAATGTTCTCCCTTCAGAGATGCATTCCTTCAAAGCTGCTGTGTCTCAACACTCAACTTGCAAATGAAGCCTGTTGTTACCTCTTTTGAACCAATCAGAAAATGAAAGCAAGATAATTTGCAGTGTGCACTGTGCAGTGCTATGCAGACCTTATAGGTAAGCTAAGCAAATGTCCTTTTGTTGTCGTTTAGTCGTTAAGTCGTGTCTGATTCTTTGTGACCCCATGGACCAGAGCACACCAGGCCCTCCTGTCTTCCACTGCCTCCAGGAGTTGGGTCAAATTCATGTTGGTAGCTTCAATGACAAAATGTCCTTTACCTCTTGAGAAATGCCCACTGTAGTGGCTCACAGACTTTGGCTCTGTGGAACTAGACTGACAATGCCTAATGGGAGGTTCGCCCATAGTGAAACGTTCCTCCCAAGTCAATTATACAATTTGGTCTCCAGGTTACTGAAAAACTATACAACATCTCTATTGTTCTTTTGGGAGATTTATGGTCTCAAGAGAGCTAAAAACACACTTTTGTACATAATTGGTATGAATCTTAAATTCCAAAGGTGAAAAAGACCTAAGAACAAACAACTTGACAACGCTAAAAAGGAATCCCAGTCAACATTTTTTTCATCTTTCCAGATTAAATTGTTCTGGGAGATCTTTATCAGCACAACCACATTTTTGTCTACTGAGAGGCGTGTTCCACTGAGTTTGGTGTAGGTAAGTGAGTAAAGAATTGCAGCTTATGTTACATAACATAGCATTCTTGGACATGTAGAGCTGGGGAAAAGTATAGTTTGTTAAGGGTACAGTTCTCGGAATTGCCCACTTAAATTTACTCACGGCCATGATGGGTAGGGGGTTCTGGACGGTGCATCCAAAAAGGTAACTTTCCAAACTCTGGATAGCTGGCATTTGTACATTACATGGCAGTGTCCCAGAATGAACCCTGACCTGTACTGTGCCATTTGGGGGCATTTAAAACGTTATTGTTATATTTGTTGTTCCTGTTTCCTTGGCATGAATGAAACAATTGCATGCCAGAGAGAAAGATGTAACTACACCATGAAGTAATAGCAAATAAAAACTACAATTATTTTACCATTGCAGCCAAGAATAAGAAAATGTAAATGAGCCAAATAAATTAGACTTACAATGTGAGCAGAAGAACAAAAAAAGCAATGGGGTATCCGGCATGCAACCAGGAGCATAAGATGCTCCTTGAGAAGCCAGAGATATCCCATACTCCCTCTCCCACCATGTGGGCTGCACAAATCTGATCGGGGTCTACACAAGCACCAATTAGGCTCCATGAAAGATCAGCCAGAGTATATCTGGAATGCAGGGATCACAAGAGCTGAAGGGGGTGATCCAATTTTCCAAACTAAAGCCATCTGGATGCAATAAGTTGACAAAGCTAACACAAAGTCCTTTAGGGGAACACCCATCATTCTGTGGGACAGCACCTGCTTCACAGCTGCATTTAACATCAGCAAATGGTAGGAAATGCTCTAGATTCACTTGCCTAGCCAGTCCGAAGAGACAGTACCGGCTTGGTGAACAAATCTCTGACTTACGATGAGGCTTTTTCCTATATAGTAAAGACACATCAAATGTTACACTGAGATTCTAATTAACATAAGAACCTCAAGTCACTGCCAGAGGCCTGTCTCTCTCAATTAAAATCTAGAATGTTAATGCAAAAGTTTTGTTCCCAGTGGATATAATTATTCTGTCATGTGGCCAGCCTCAAAATTGTATCAATGATTTTCAGGAAGTATTCTGCCCAATATGGCAAGCATTACTTTTTCCTCTCTTTTTTTATCTCAAAGCAATATTGAGCCCACTGAAACACTTTGTTCTGATAAACTGTTTTGGAATCTTATTGGGGTTTTTGGTCAAGTTTCTGTAAAGTCAAATATCCTCACACAACACCTGTAGCCTGAGCACTTTCACTTTTTTTGCAAAAGTTTTGCGAAGTTTCCGGGACCTCTTTAAATAAGTTTAATACTGTAGTGGTAATGGTGCTCATCATGCTATCAGTGGACCCCACCTTAAAATGGCAGCAGGGTATTATGTTCCATTAGTACCCAGCAGGACCTTGACCATTATATCCTACAGTTTTGAATATACAGCCTCGTGGCCTAATGGTAAAAGTACTGCAGTCAAGACTCTGTTCATGATCTGAATTCAATCCCAATGGGCTCAGATTGCTGGCTCAAGGCTGGCCCAACTGTCTATCCTTCCAAGGTCAGTAAAATAAGTACCCAGCTTATGGGGGGTGGAGGGGAACAAGGTCTAGCCTGCATAATTAAATTGTAAACTCTCCAGAAAGTGCTTTAAACACTATGCGGGAGTATATAAGCAGCATACTTTGCTTTGCTTTATACTGGTACAGTACTTTGATATTAATAAGGAAGAAGGGTAGTTTTAAAACATTTTAATAAGTAATAAATAAATACATTTTAGCACATATCGTGCCAAATGCAGTGGTAAAATCTTGCTGACAGCATGGGAAAATAATAGACGGCTAGTCCAAGGTAAGGTCAGTCACCCTGCCTGGAGCAATTTGACAAAAGTAAAAGGGATATAATGTGTGTAGTTTTAAAATGTGTTAATTCTAGTACTGAAAACTGATGAAATGGGGGTAGATTTTTCACTTTCGCAAGGATAATTATTTGTATCTGCAAAGCGTTTTGCAAAGTATATCCCTGTGATATTTCTCTAAAAGCATCAGCTTATTATTTGAAAAAATGCAATAATCATGACCCCAAATGGGGCTACAAGCCAGTCCACTGCTTTGATGTTGCAGTCAAATTCTGTCTCTCTGTCTTCCCCACAAACTTGCAAATAGAGGTTTAATACATATTACTGATTATTTTTAATTTTATTTTCTCTTCCTTGTCTACAGACTCCTACAGATGTTTACATGGAAGAAAATCCTACTGTGTTAATGGTGTTAACTTCCAGGTAAGTGTGCATAGGGCTGCAACCTCAGTCTTCCTTCCAAAAAGTTATTTAAAAAGGCATCCATCCAATGTTAAAAAACTGTCTGTACAATTTTATAAGAACACAACATTTTTTTTAAAAAAATGCACTCTTGTGCAATGCACTTCATTCCTAACTTGACCATGAATACAGTGAACAGCTCTTGGCCTTGGTGTAACTTGAATTTTGGCAGCTAAGTGACTAACAGTTAAACATCACAATATCACACGGATCGTACCAAAACTGGGAGCTTGTAGGTGAGAAAAAATTTGAGCTGTCTTATCTAACGAAGCTCAGGAATCTCTAGACGCATGGCCTGTTTGCATGTTACATTTTTCATTCAGAAGATCTCTGGAAATCCCAGCTCAAGTGAAAAGCGCAGTAATTTACTTTGCAACTGAAAGGCAGTATTGTTGTAATTTAAATGTAATTCATACACACACGTTCACTTAAAAAGTTACAGAAGCTCTGGAGATCAAAGCAGTATACTTGTTTCTGATTTCTTGCATTAATAACGGAATGGAAAGATATGTGTGGATCCAAGAGGTCGGAGTCCCTATAATATGACACTTCAACCAAGTGAGTTCTGTAAACAAATATTTCACACAGAGTACTGAAGACCAACTATGATTGCTGCTCTGTGGAAAAGGAAGCACTTTTTTTCCGTTCCACATCCCCAGTGATTAGCCCTCCAGATGTCAGTTTTCCACAGCAAGACACAAAGATTCCAGGAAGCAACACCATAATCAACCACTGTGGGGAGGGGGAGAAATGAATTTTGGGATGAATTCAGCACGATGAGAAGATGACTAATGACATAGTACAAGTTCAATTCCTTGGTGTACAATCAAGTTGTAGCCAGCATTTTTTAAATGATAAGTATCAGAGACGTCCACAAAGGAAAAAAAAATGTTACCTACTTTGACAGGATCCTCTGAGTTGCAGCCAGTCTTCTCATTCTGAGACCAAACCAGGAGCATGAGAGATTAAACTGTCCTTCCTCCTATTGAGTGGTTTCTGCTGCATGCGTGCTTGCATTTTCTGTTGGGATGAAATCTGCTTTCCGGCAACAACCAGTAGCCTGATACAACCGTTAAATGAAGCAATGTGATGACTGAAAAATAAAGTACTAGCACCACCATATGCTAGAGGCGGGAAAAAAAAAATCTGTCAAACAGCCCTGTAAGTTCTGCTTGCTCGCTCACTCTTTCTCCCTCTCCTCCCACTCTTAGGCAGCTTGATTTTTAACTCACCCCTCTGGCCAGGAGTTGTATGAGCCGATGTTGAGAGGGATATTAATTTGCTAGGAAAATCCCACTGTGGTCGAAGTGAATTTTGCTTCCCATGGTATAAACTGTGACGTGACTATGCTTCTTCACTATTTACTAACTGGGAAGTAAGAAAGAGATACATAGTGCTATTTAGAGTGGGCCCTCATACTAATGAATAAAGATTAAAGTGAGGCACCATCAATTCCTTCAAATCAAAATTCTTTTTACTGCTCCCTCATTGCCTTCTCCTGTCCTATTGCTAAGCAGTGGGATATTTTCTTCAAGTGGCCCTGAAAGCGATTAGTTTCCTTCTGTTTCTTAAGCCCTTCCCATCTGTCACATGATCTTCCCATTTCTGCCTGAAATTTGACACAGCCCTTTCAAGATTGCCTTGGATATAAACAGAACTTGTTACGCAGAAAAATAAGCTAATATTGTGTACACAATACAGAAAGGAAACGGGTAGATGATTATAATAATTTGGCTTACCAAGGTGTAAAAGGTCTAATCTTTGAGCATCCTTAAGTGTAAACATCTAGCCTAAAACTGTCTCCCACCCGCCACTCACCCACTGTCAATTTCCACACACACTAAAGCAAAGCAAAGCAAAGCAAAGTGTGTCAGGATGCAGATGTTTGAATATTATTTTAATCCATGGCATAGCCTTTAAATAAAATGGTATGACTGCATGCATCACACTGCATTTGAAATTAACATTTGTGGGGAGGGGCAAATGTATAGCATGCACAAAAAAGATCACACCTTAGTCCACACTTAGAAGGGTCTAAGTAAAGAGGACTCCAAAACACCCCCTACGTATACAAAATCTCAGCCTGGAAAATTTCAAGTAAGCATGTTAGTCTACCTTAGTGTATTGGCAAAAATAAAGGCTGGAGGAAAAGACAGACAGACAGACAGAAGGCTGTATAGCTCAGTGGGCTAGGTATCTGGCTGGAGAGCTAGAGGTTGGGAGTTTGATTCACCGCTATGCCTCCTGGGAGCTGAGCCAGCCTGTGTGGCCATGGATGAGCTGCACAGTCCCAGGGCACTCTCAGAAGAAGGGAATAGTCGCCACTACTGTGTATCTTCTAACCAGAAAACCCTGGAAAAGGTCTCCAGAAGTCCAAATTGACTTGACAGAGCACAATTATTATATTATTGTACTGAAGACTAGCTGATTTATTTCTGTGCTCCACTTAAATAATTTTTCTTAGTCTTTAAAGTGCTGCAATATTCTCCCTTCTCTTTCTCTCTCAAGTTTTCTCCTCTTTATTTTTTGCCAATAAAAGTTGGAAAAGTGTATTTTTTTTTATCTTAGCCATTCAGAATGAAAAATAAAAGATCATTTTATTTCCTTGCAGGTGCTAAATTGTTTGATACTATCCTTGCATTTATTATATTAATTTGATTGCATTAATTTTGGCTGTCTAACATTTTGATAAATCATTTTGAATTTCAAGAAGGTATACGTTTTAAAACAAGTTATGTTTACTATTTTCCTTTCAATATAATTTTTTTAAAAAATTCAGGCCATATTTCTGTGGTGCCATGTATTAGAAGGTGCCTATTTGGATCCAAATATTTACTAATTCTGGGATTCCAACCATTGTGATAAATTATACTTTCAATTCAACTGGAGCACTTTATAGATTCAGATCAATAACTTTGCTCCCTGGATGGTTGATAATATAAAATGTAAGCATATTGTAATATTCTTTTCTCTCTTTTTTTCAGCCAAGAAAAAAAAATAAAATAAATAAATAAATAAATAAATAAATAAATAAATAAATAAATAAATAAATAAATAAATACATACATACATACATACATACATACATACATACATACATACATGCATACATACATAAAAATCTAAGATTCCTTAAAGCCCTTGGTGAAATTTAAAAAGTATTTATTTGTGCCTGAAATCCACACACTGACATTGAAAAAGTGTCAGGTAAGTTTTTCAAGGCAGGTCCTCTACTGATTGGATGCCATCACCAAGAAGTTCATTTCTAGAGGCCATCTTCTTTATATCATTTTGTGGGAGCAGTTTCAGCAGTATATCTCTAAAGGTAAGAGGAAAAACTTTCAAATATCCTTTCCATAGGCCATGGCTAGATTTAAAGGATGAAGTTACAGTTGAGTCAGTATAGATGATAGAGGATTGCAACAATATAAGCCCTGGTCAAGTTAGTACTGTACTTCCCTCGCTCTTGACAACATCTAGCTCCTGCCCCTATACTACAACACTACATTCTCTACATGGAATATATGTCAGAAGGGGAGAAGGGTTACATGTGAAGTGTACAAGTGAACAATAATTCTAGAAAAACAGGTCCTTTTCTTCAGACATATTGCTCTTCAGATGGAGAGCTGAGGGGCATTCCTCTCTATATCGTCTAGATCTGGTGAACAGTCAAATCACCATACCAAGTGAAGCCCTACCTCAGACCAAATGCAGTTTCCAGTCAGTTCTCAAAGGTGTCCTCAGGTATATTGCTTTTAAATAATCTAAATCAGTCGTTCTTAACCTTTTATTTACTATGGACCCCCGTTTAACTATCTTTTGCCTCCGTGGACCATCAAGACTTAAGGTTTAAAACCCTAAAGTGCATCAAATATTTATTTAAAGTCTCTCATAAAGGGTTTCATTGAGAGATATTCCTTGCTATAATGGTGACACCTTTTAAGATTATTGGAAGAAACTTCATTTTGCTTTGAAGATGATACACTCTCATCGACAGCATCAGTTCTTTCATGTCTCAAATTCAGCCAGTCATCTGTTCTGAGGCTCAGCCAAAATCTATTGTTATGAAAGTCACTGTGATAATATTGAAAATGCTCTTTACCTGACAAATGGTTTTACAGTGGTGCCTTGGCTTACGAATGTCCCGACTTACAACCATTTCGAGTTAGGACCAGCTCCAGCTGCATAATTTTGCTTCGACTTGCAGCCGGAGCTTCCAGTTACGAACAGAAAAATGCAGGGGGAAAAAGGTGGGGAATTCAAATTGCTAACTCTTGGTGGCGAAGAGGCTGCTTCTTTGTAGCACTTTTGCCCCAGCAGTTAGAGTGAGTGCGATCGGAGGAGGCTTCGGACTGCCTGATAAGGTAAGGTGCTGCTTTCTGGTTTTTATAAACTGTTCTGGGTGGGTTTTGCAGCATAGTTTTGGGCTGGGGGGGTTATATTTCTGTGCTGTGATGGGTCTTGTGGGTTTTCTTTGTTTGGGGGGGTTCCCCATTTCTGATGGGTCTTGGGGGGTTTACTTGCGTTTTGTTTTCCCCCATTTCTGATGGATCTTGGGGGGTTTGTTTGCTTTTGAGTCCCCCCCCCCCTATTTCCGATCTTCCACGATCTGCTTGGTCACTTTTTGCTTTGTTTTGTTTTCATTTGCAATGGGTCTTGCACGGTTGATTGGTTTTTGGTTTGTTTTCTTTGCATTTGCAATAGGTCTTGCATGCTTGATTGCTTTTTGCTTTGTTTTGTTTGCAATGGGTCTTGACTGGTTGATTGCTTTTCTTTCCCCTCCCCCTTCGGCTGGAAGGGATTAATCACGTTTCCGATGAGTCTTGCAGTGATTTATTTATTTATTTTGGTGAATTTTTTCCCCCTCAGCTGGAACGGATTAATTGCATTTCAATGTATTCCTATGCAAAATGGTGCTTCAACGTATGACCATTTTGAGTTACAACCAGAGTTCCAGAACCAATTAAGTTCGTAAGTTGAGGCACCACTGTATTAGCAGAAACTGAGGAAGAAACACAATCATGAACTCCATCTGAACACTCACTTACACTGACACTGACTGACTCTGGTCCTCAATTCCTGCGATAGTGCAGCAGCAAGAAATGTCACATGCTGACTCCCAGCCACTCAGCATCATTCACTTGCATGTTCTCACCATGTGCAGAAATATCGAACATTTATTTGCTATCAAACATTTATTTTCATAACCGAACTTTCCTTCTGTTTGTTTTTAATGGAGGTGGTAGGTTAGAAAAGTCAAGTTTTACAAAACAAGCAAGAGAAATTAAGATTTTGTTCTACATTTCCTTCCTTCCTTCCTTCCTTTTAAAAAGGCAAAACTAGCTCCAGGGCCACAATATCATAATGGTGAACAAGAGCCCAGAAATCTTGTAATGTTTTACCCAATCCAGAGGTCAAGGCATTTCAACAGGGAGAGCTGATCTGCAGGCCCAAAGGAATGCAAAGGTGGATATGGACATTTACCAAATGTTGTCCCAGTCAGGGAGGAAATGTTTAAAAATCTTTACAAATATGTAGAAAGGACTCCCTATAACCCAAAGACCCTGCTCAAACCAGTTTGCCCTAGACAGTCCAATGGTTCAAAGGATAGCTATAAAAATGCTGTATTTGATTCTCCCCATATTTTGCAACCCATACACAATTAATTATCTGTACACTTTTTAAATTGCATTTTGAATATTTTAACCATATAATATGTTTTATGAACTGGCTGTACATTTTAAAATTGCATTTTGTATATTTTAGCCGTAACTATTTTTTATGAGCTGGTCACCCAACCATAATAAATAAATTCATTAATTAAAATTTTTTTACCCTAGAGAGGCTTATCTAGAGTCCACTCTATTGTCTTTTTGTAACTAAAGAAGAGTTTTGCAAATGGTAGATTCCATTCAAAAATGATTATTGATATATACACAGCCAAGTTGTAAGTTAAAAAGAAAGTGGTGAAATGAAGTAATTATGCTGGCCATGGAATTCTGGGAGTTGTGATTTAAAAATGACTTCCATCATTGCTTCATTTCAGTTAATGTTGGTGTGGTAACGCTTTCTGATATATTTCCATATATCATATTTA